CGAGAAATGCACTCAACCCTTGCTTCCGGTCATCAACCAAGAGTCAAGTTGAAGAAATATTGTGATACGGATGAAAGAATAATACCTGTTGTGTCACATACAATAACTGTTAAAATAGATATGTAATTACTTATTTTCATGGGTTAGCTACGAAATGACATAATAATGCGGTATTTTACATATAAAATTTCACAATATAAAAGAAAGATAATGTATGCTTTAATTAATTGTTTTTGTATGAGAATTCGATGTTAAAGTTAACTTATATTCGCAGATTTAAATTTTCTAAAACAATCCGACAACACTGCTAGTCGATTCAGCCCAACATTTTGTTAAGAAGCAATGACTTAAAGTGGTGGACAGTTGTATAAGTAGCAGGGATGCACTGTCATCTTAATTTCATGCTCTCCCTTCGATGTTCCTGAATGTTTGTTGAAATTCTTGCGCAGAACGGAAACGGCTGAACTCCAGTGATTTCAATCATTGCCAGCTGTATCATGTAAATTTTTACATACGATTAGTACAAATAGTAACTTGTGATGACGAATCTGCTCTGATTGAATCGCCTCTTTCATATACACTCAATCACTCGAAGAATTTTTAAATTTTGCAGTTTTCACAGAAGCCCTATTTTAAGCCCTGTATTTTGCTTACAGGCAGCTTTCTTGACTACAGCATGGGGGTTAAATGTAACATATGATGGAGATGGGTATTTGTCCGTTGCATCAACTCATACTTGTGACCACGTGGCTACACCCTGACTTAATCATCTCACACAGTCATCACGTGGAATCATGAAATGAAATTGAAATGGTTGAAATTCACAAATTTTACAGGTTTTTTGTTGTACTCTCATGGACATGCAAATAATAAAATAAGCGAGATAGGCGATAGCGATGGACGTTGTGAAATTCTATAGATCAAGGTCATGAACACGTGACTTTGCCCAGGCATGATGAATTCGCGTAATCTTCGAACTTTTAAGTTCACCAATTGACAGAATTTTCGTATTGTCATCGATATGTGAATGCTGAAAAAAAATCAGACAGGCAAGTCAATATATGCTAATTTCCACAGTCAAACTCATGATCACGTGATAACGCTGATTTAATATGCTCGTGCACTCGGTACAATGGCATCCTAAAGTAAAGTGGAAGTCTCAAATACTCAGTAGTTTGACGCACATTAATTATTTTGCTCACTACGAGCTTTATCGGCGGTTGGATGAAGCAGTTGATGCAGTTGACCAACGTCCAATCATATATATCCAAACCCACGATGACAGGCCGAGTTGAGAACGACCATCGCTCTGCGCTCAGACGGCCGGCCCTAAACATCATAGATCGTCATTTGCCTCTCCCGTATGAAGAACTTTGTTCTGTTTTCTGTTTTCAATGCTTTTAGTGTATTCGTAATTAGCTGTACTTTTTTGAAGTTGCATTCTAACCAGGGTTGCATTATAGACGTAACGGTCATAGAGCTACGCTCAGTCATAGGACATCGTACAGTTTTTCTGTTCTAGTTTTTGTTTTTTGTAGATTACAAGAAAAGTCGGTTTTGGAAGATCAATTGAAACACATGCAGCAGACGATAAAGACTCAAGATCGTATCAAGGAATATATTAATAAAGTATTTATTAAACGTAGATTATAACCATCTATTCAAATGATTGTTTCGTTAACTCGCGGTTTGTACGGTCTTCTCCCTATCGTATCCTCCGTTTCTTTTATATGAATGAAAATGTGCTCGGCGCGGTTGCTGCTTGAAGTTTACATTCAGGAGCAGTTTGCTTGAATGAATACGTGATCTGATGTGGCCCGGCTAGTTGGTCTGAGCTAATTGTCTCGCCTATCATGTATTGTCAAATGAAGCTTTACTAAATGCGATGAATCTCGTAACTGAGGCTATTTTGAAGGTGCACTCCATTTTCACGGTGAAATCTGGCGTGATGACGTAGCTCGAACCTGTACATGATCTATACATGGCATGGGATAGTTACTCGATCAGTTATCTCCGTTAGATTAATTCAGGATTGTTTTAAACGATTCAGGTAAATATTTAACAAGTTTTATTGTCCTCTAGGATGCATATTAATACCATATATGACATTCTGATGACTCAACAGGACTCTGGAGCGAAGTTCATATTGGTTAATAACATCGAGCTTAAGTCACTGACATCACTCAGTCATCGACAACATCTTCATCTTTATCATCCTCT